GAGCAGCTCTCTTTTTGATTGTAGTAATGATTCTTCCCTTTTCTAGGGCTCAGCTTTAGCAGAGGAAAGGATCACTACCTTGGAGGAAAGGTGCAGACCAGCAGAAGCAGGTTGTGCTACACGTGCACCCCTTTGACTGCATCCTAAACATTCCCATACGGATGTGGTACTCGAAGCCGAACTACCCCACGGACAAGCAAGGCGCTCCCAGGCCAAGCAGATGTGATATTCGTATTCAGGAGGTCAAACTACCCCAGAGAGCAAATTTTTAGCCAATTCTGCCAAGGAGAAAAAGTCAGTCAGAACTGGCCTGATCTCGGATGACTGGGGCAGTGGAGGGTAAATGGTGCTGAAGATTGAGAAACCCTCCAAGATAGTTGAACATACCGCTGATCCAGGCCTTGACATCTTCTTCAGTCAACGCTTCCGAAGCTCGCACGACAAATGCTTTCGGCAATTCGCCAGTCTTCTTATTGGGCACACCGATGACAGCAGCATCGCGGATCAGAGGATGGGCGAGCAGAAGATCTTCGAGCTCAGCAGGAGCAACCTGAAAGTGAAAGGTGATGGTCTGCATGGCGGTACTCGTGATCCCACGGAACAACTGGTGTGCTCCTCGACCAGCACGAGTCAACAACAAATGCTCGAAATGAGGCGCATCATGGCGCGTTGTAAAATACGTGCAGGAATTAATGTGGTATGGAAAAACTGGCTAAAAATGTGAGACAGCGTCACTTGTACTCAGAGAGCGAGCAGAAGGTTATAAAATAAGATAGAAAAAGGATGAGATGGATGGCTGCTTGTGTTCGTGACAAGTTTGCGAAGTATCAAAGGGCAAGCGCAACTTCGCGGGAAGCTGTTTTTCACTTTTTCGTTTCCGGCGCAGCAGGGTTGTAACTGCTTGCTCGTTCTTCGGTATTGTTCAGCATGTGACAGGCAGCCCTGCTAGAGGATTCCCGTCAGTTTTTATAATTTGCTTGCAGGACAACAGGGCAAGTTCTCCATCGGCTCGAAATGAGGTAAGTTTGCAAGTTGGAAAACGAGGAAAATTCGGAGCTAACTTATAACAACTCCCGGTACACTTACTGCCATATTCTAGGTCGCTTTTTGACTTTTCCTAAAGGGTTGATCAACGGTAGAGATTCTAATCCTCATCGCATTTCAATTCAAATTTTCATCGTAAAGGTCACCTCGGTTTAAAGGAAGTTCGTAATTTGTTGTGATCACCGGATGGCTTCAAAACTCGTTTTGAGGCTACAGGATTCGTCAAACACGTGAAGCAAGTCATTGTAGGATTCCTCGGAAGAGCTGCCAGTATACGCGAGGTTCATGGTGGATCAAAGATGTTTCGAAAAGACAGTGAGGGCCTTGATAGATCTGGTAACCGTAATAGAGAAGAGAGCCCCAGTTGATCTAGGCTGGACACTGCTAATGTGATGAACTAATGGTACGAACATTGCAAGTGCAAACTCGGCCACGCAAGAAAAATTGACTGATGGGCCCTTACTCATTCCGCCTCCGCTAGTGAAATGGCGTACGCCAACGGCTATCAGAGGAGAAATAACTGGGGGAATCGCTCAAATGGACCAAGATGTTCTGCCTCATCAGGCATAGTTTAGACAATATTCCGACCAGTACTGCATTTTTAGCGAGCAAGAAGTTCAGCTTCTGCAGTGTTACCGAGCCTGAATTGCTTTGAGTTTTTGACATTGGAACCCCAAATTCAAGAAGCATGGGATTTTTGAGTAGATAAATATTGGATTACTTGTTAATTATGTTTTTAGATTCCCATTCATTTCCTGAAGGCAGTTGGCACGATGGTTTCCTACTTAGCCTAAAATGCTAGTAGGGCGCTGTATAGTGGGGAAATGGCGAAAGAACGGAGTGAAACGGTCAAAATCCTGCGAAGAAAAAGCCTCCGTTCTCAGTGACTTGTAAATCGATTTCGGACGAGTTTCCCGTAGGCATCTTACCAATCACCGCTACCGAAGATACGGCTGCATATGTGTACCCATGTATGCATGCAGCATCACGGCCGCTTCATACCCTTCGCTTCATAATTTGCTTAGCAAATGAATGAATACGAGCGTCAGGAACGGTCGTCCATTTGTGGGCGGGCGGGCGTGGCGGGCGTTTGGGACGTAAAGTTGTGGCTTGATAGGGCCCTTAAGGGCACCTTCCTCGGGGAAACCGCTATGCAGCGCCTGCCCAGGGTCGCGGAATTCTATCCTGCCAGGGGTATTGATCCTAGTCGTCTTGGGGGATTTATCGTGCCATTTGCCTTTGATGAAAACTGGCCATTTGAATACTTTTTTTGTGAAAACACGACACTAACAGCGGTACCTAACACGAGCTTCACTGCCTGCTCAGGTACAGTGGTGAATTGCAATCAGTTTCGGTTCAAGGCCCGAGGCTAGCCCAATAGTTTTTTCACGGTCAGGGCGTAACTGAACCTTTACATAAAATGCGACAACCTGTGCTCACATTATTGAATAAGCAAAAAAATAAATAAACAAGCAAGTCGGTATAGTTGGGTCACGGCTACCTATATCGTAAGGTAAACAGTATAAGAAATCTCCCGTAGCCCCGGAGATGTGGTCTCGGAGAATATTCGCGGTTTTAAACATCAAATATCAGTTTCAGCGGAAAACTCGAATTATAATTTATAGAAGTTTTGCGAGTGATCACATTCATTCTATGAAAAGATTTTGATAAGAAAAACACCATTTTCCTGGTCCCTTTTTTCATCATTCGAGTTGGGAAACAACCTGGTTTCACCTGAAATTCAGCGAAAAAAGCCAACGATAGAATGAAAAGCGTGCACCGCATTGCTGTTCAGAGCTATGGACCTGTAAAGTTGTAACGTTGTGTCGTTGTAAGTATCGCCCTCGAAATTGCGTCAGGATTGTTCTTAGAAATTAACGCTAACCAAGAGTGAGATGGGGGGGGGGGGGAGAGAAAAAGGTGTTTTGCTAGAAGTGTGCCCCAGTAAGGCTTGCTTCGAACGGAGTGGCGGCTATAGTGGACCATCCGGGCATTTATGTCAACCTCATCCCGCAGCTTCGGGGTCCGCCAAGACGATGTGCGCAGTGCTGTAGGCGCCTGGTAACTTGACTTGACTTTGAGGGGTAAATCATAAAAGCAAAATGTGAACTATAGCAATATTGTCCTCACAGCCGGACAGCTCATGTCTCCTAGCACCTCTAAAACCTGCACGTGAACATCTAACTCTCAAAGCTTTAAAGACAGTATCCGCGCTCGAGAGGCCTTCAAAATGACTTCGCGCCTTCTGGAACCCTCTGCGCCTTGATGAAGATGATCCCGCTTTTATCCATCAATGGCGCGCGATGAGGAAGTTATCGCAATTTCGACAAGGCTCGCTAGGCTCACGGAGACGGTAGGTGGACGAGGCGTCTGGTCCCGAACTGCATCCGTCCCTTTAAAGCCCGCGCGTCCCTTTAAGCCCGCGGTCCCACTGGCATTTTGCCAAAGTTGGCTCATAGCTCAGCTAAAGGTCTTACTTCGGTCAGGCTTGTAAACATGTGTGAAAGTGCGGAACCATTAGAGTTTTTTTTTTGCTTAAATGACAATGTACGTGTCTTGCTTTTTTCCAATGGTAGGCGAGATTTTTGTTGTCAAGTGGGGTTTGTTGTCATTTTCTTTCTTTTTCTTTTTTTTCTTGTCAATTTCTCAAGAAAACTCCAGCAACCTTCCCAATTTTCTCTGTAAGCAACTCTAATCATCCCATCGTTGGAAATTGCAGTACGTTGCGAAGCGGCGCTGTAGCGCGACGCTGTAGCGCTACAAGTAGACGCTGCCTTACGTTCGAAAGTATCCTATTTCGAAAGTTGGGACGCAATTGCGGCTGCCGCATCGAATTCTGGCAGCCACGCCCGGCACACTCGTCCAGGCCCCGCCCCCACTGCTAAAGGTAGGTTTGGGTTCAAGGTGTTCCCGAAGATTTTTTCTGCTTCTTTTTCTACTGAGAGTAACACTTATGGAATATGGTTGCCATGACGAAGCTACGATTGCCCGCAACTACTTGATCGCCGATAATTGTCTTTAAGCAGTTACATCAGGCTGACTTAAATATTGTAGGCATTACCAAAGTAAGCTCAACCAATACAACGGCTTGAGGTGCTCATAACGGTAGAAACGTAGGGTTTGCTGCTGGTTTCCAAGGGAATTTCGTGAATATTCCACCCTGTACCTAGCTTCCAACTGTCTCCGTGTGGTATGAACCCAGTTGCCACCCCTGTATACGGTCAAACTATAACGGCAAACATTTGTAAGAAAACACATGAAATGAGTATTCCATGTAGACAGAGTAGTAAGGGATGTATTAAGACATAAATGAAGACGTTCGAATCTAAAGCATATGAAAAATTTCGGTTTAAATTGCTTGCTCAGTGTTTTGCATCTTACTCCATATAGGGCGGAGGGGAGATGAGGAGACTTCGTACATTCATTTGAAGATGGCGTAGGACGTGCTTCTGGTGGAATACC